GTCATAAATATGAATCAGTTGCCAAGCATCTGAATGTAAATCACAAGACCCTGGAGAGGCTGCAACATTCCAGCTGATCGGCGCTTCTTCTGGGCTCATCAGAAACAGCAGGATCAGCATCGAGCTCCAGCTGGAGCCTGGCGCTGATCCTGGCGCTTCCGCTGAGCCCTGACAGCCCTGCAGCTCCAGCCATCTCTCGCTCAGGCTTGTGCGGTGCTGCCACCCGTTCTGCTCATTCCCCTCCCCCGCTACTTTTCTAGGATGGTCGCATACCACCTGCCAGGTGCCAATGTACCACAGGTGGTACCCGTACCACTGGTTGACAAGCCCTGATCCAGGTCATAGTTATCCCACAGATGCTTTTTTTCAAGAGGCAACTGGACTGTCTTGTTTTTCTTTGAAGACGTTTCGCTTCTCATCCAAGAAGCTTAAGAGAGCTGAAGAAGCTTCTTGGATGAGAAGCGAAATGTCTTCAAAGAAAAACAAGAAAAGTCCAATTGGCTCATGAAAAAAAGCATCTTTGGGATAATTGTGGAACAATGCAGTGGTGGGGTTCAGCTGGTTCGCACTACTTCGGCACAACCGGTAGCTAATTTTTTGTTGCCCAGGCCCAGAACAGACTTCCGGAAGCGGCATCCACACAAAGAAACGGTTGTTCACATATTTGAATCCCACCACCAGAACAATGCGCTGAAAAACATTCAACATCCAGATTCTGGAAAATTTTGCAATTGCCCCACCTCTAACCAAAAACCATTGCAACTTTTATTTGTATTTTAAACACACACCCTTTTTTGTGTTTGTGTGGGCGAGGGTTTGTCTTCCACAAAATGTGACAAGAAAAAAAGAGCTGTTTTGTTGAGCCGCAATCTTGGGACAGGGAGCCAGGATGCTCTTAAGGTACTTGGAGATTTGGAAATGGAACATGAGTTGGACCTTCCATATTTGCATGTATAGCGTAGTTCTGATAAAGGAGGTTCTGGATTGGTCATCAAAGATTGACCTAACTTACAACTTACGATGTAGTTTTATAATACAAGTAGTCCTCGACTTACAACAGTCCATTTAGTGGCTGAAGTTACAACAGCACTGAAAAAAGCGACTTAAGACTTACGACTTTCTCACGAAACCAATGCAGCACCCCCATGGTCACGTGATCAAAATTCAGATGCTTGGCAACTGACTCACATTTATGACGGTTGCAGTGTCCAGGGGTCATGGGATCACCTTTCGTAACCTGACAAGCAAAGTCAGTAGGGAAACCAGATTCACTTAATAACAATGTTACTAACTGAACCACTCCAGCGATTCCCTTAACGAGGGTAGCGAGAAAGTTCGTAAAGTGGGGCAAAACTCCGGCTTGAGCAGGGGATTGGACTAGAAGACCTCCAAGGTCCCTTCCAATTCTATTATTCTATGTATCAAATAATCATCATAATAATAATAATAATAGTAAAGTTGGAAGGGACCTTGAAGGTCATCTAGTCCAACCCCCTGCTCAGGCAGGAAACCCTATACCATTTCGGACAAATTCAAGCCACAATTCATCTGCATTATCCTTGCCAATTTGAAGACTCAACAAGATTGACATTTTTTGACATACGTCCAGGGCACGGGTCAGCAACCCGTGGCTCCGGAGCCACATGTGGCTCTTTGAGACTTCTCCTGCGGCTCCCAGCCTCCTCCACCATTTGCAGAGAGAGAGAGGCACTTGCGCTTTCCCCCCCCTCTCTGTGTGTGTGTGTGTGTAAAAAAGAGAGTGGCCTCATGCTGTTCTCCAACAAGCTGACAAGCTTATTGGGCGGGGCTCCTGCCTTTGCTGCGTCTCCACAGGAAGCAGCAGAAAGCAGCTCTCTCTCTCTCTCTCACACACACACACACACACACACTCACACTGAGTGGAAGAAGAGGACTGGCAGACCAAGGGCAGGAGAGAGCCAGCCCAATAAGAATGTCTGTCAGCTTGTCGGAGAACAGCGTCAGGCCAGATGAGTAGAAGATCGGAGAGAGGGGGAGAGGGGGGGAGGAAGAGAAAGAGGGAGAGAGAGAGAGGAAGGGAAGGAGGGAGGGAGAGAAATAGAGAGCAGCCTTTATTTCTTTTTAATTAAACTCTTCAATCAAGCCCCCCCCCTCTGGCGCGCGCGCATGCACGTGCAAGTTTTGCAGCTCCCAGTGTTTTCTGTGGGAAACGGGTCCAAGTGGCTCTTTGAGTGTTTAAGGTTGCCGACCCGGTCTAGGGTAAGTGCCCAGACTAACAGTAACCAAGCATTCTGACACATGTAGTACAGAGTGAATGTGGAGATTTATTTACTTCCCGCCTTTATTATTTTTATAAATAACCCAAGGTGGAAAACATATGTAAATACACTTTCTTCCTTCTATTTTCCCCACAACAACAACCCTGTGAGGTGGGTTGGGCTGAGAGAGAGTGACTGGCCCAAGGTCACCCAGCCGGCTTTCGTGGCTAAGGCAGCACTAGAACTCAGAGCCTCCTGGTTTCTAGCGTGGTGCCTTAACCACTAAACCAACCTGGCTCTCTGTACATATTTGTATGTATGTAGGAAGGAAGGAACGGCCTTGGGGAGAAAATGGGATTGGGATGAATTGCTTGTTTTCTGGGCTACCTGTAGCAAATTAGCAGGTATATCTGAACACCCAACCTTTTTTGCTGGAATCAACAAAATGAGGAACACTTCTTCAGATGTCCTGCCTCACCCAAACAGTTTGAGATAATTGCACACTCTTGTATGGAGAGATGTTGAACAATGCTTTGTTCCAGCATTCAAAGCAAAAAAAAAGGTGGGGCTGATACTTGCGAGTCTCTTGTTTGATTGCCGGAGTTTTCTCTCAAAAGCTTTTTTTTTCTCCTGAAAACTTGATTCTATCCCCACCTTGCTAGAATGCATCAAAAAGTCACAAGTGCTTCTGGTTCCATACACTGACACATCTCTAATCCCCCTGTGTCAAGTTTGTGGATTGCTTTGTTTACTGGGAGGCAACTCAATTGTGTCATTTTCTCCTAAGCAAGCAAAACAGAGAATTCGGGGATACCCAAAGCCAGAGGTGTGTGGACAGAAACTCTAGTAGCTCACAGTTAAGCCACAAACCAGAGTCACACAAACCATAATGACTGGTCCTTATGAAGGATAGAAGGCAGCTGTAAAATATGTAAAAGGGGGTTTCAGAGGAGAAACTACAAACCCAACCTTTTCAAGTAACAGGATTATATCACTTTAAACTACAGATATGTGTGTGTCACATTCTGTATTGCCTCCCCTAAAGCAGAGTTCCCCAACCTTTCTGGGGGGGAGAGGCCTGGTGGGGGGGGAGGAGGGGGGGAGAGAGGATGGTTTTGTGGGAGGGACAGGTTTGTGTGCGCGTGCATGCGCGCGCACAAGCACCCGTTGCTCACGTGAGTGGGGCCCCAAGCACCCATGATGCTCGTGCGAGTGGGGCCATGAGCGCCCGCGACACTCGCGTGAGTGGGGCCATGAGCACCCGGACACTCACGCCGCCCGGTTACAAATAGGCCATGGACCAGTAGTGGGCCATGGCGCACAGGTTGCAAACCCCTCCCCTAAAGAACTGTCTTCACTGTAAGAAGGTTGCCGACTCCATTTGCAAGGACTTTCTACATGAAGTACACAGCTGTAAGCTTCCAGATGCTGCTAAACCAGCAGCAGCCCAGCCAGCCTCCTCCAGAATCTGGGACTTTAGTTCAGAAACATCTGGAAGGCAAAAGATACTTTACACATCTCGTGTCTAGTGATAAGCATCCTCTTGGAATCTCAGCTTAAATTTAACTCATTCTCCCCCCCCCCCTCATACCTGATCTAATGTTAAAAGTTAAACCTGAGTCCATGTAAACATCTTATTGTAACTTGGTAAAAATGTAAGGGTTTAATACTGTTTGCACGCAACGCTCTGAGGCTCCTGGTCTAGAAACAGGGAGAAAGGTCACCTTATTAGAAGTTCTGGTCTTTTAAAAATGGCTAGTCACTCTTAAATACACATTTTTTAAAAAATAAAGCAAGATCATGAACGTTTTTGTCTAAATTGGCTTTCCGTTGGCCATCCTGAGGTTGTGCTTCTAAGGAGAGAGGAAATATACACTGATGCACTCTGCCCTCCAAAGTCAATTGATAATTTATAATATTGATTTCGATGTAGAACTGGAGGCAGGGATCCTTAAACTATTTCCAGCTTGATTATGTAAAGAAACAAACAAACAAAAAAAAAACGCTTTCCACTGGAACTCTGAGCTATTCAGTTTTCTGTCACTTCCACTGACGTTTTCTTTAGTGACGTGGAACTGGAATCTGGATCAAAGTTTACACATTTACTGGTCTTCCCCCTCTGGTGAAAGTCAAAGCAATCATTGGAGCACAAAACTCAAATTAACCGAGGGAATAAATGGTAAGATTTTTTTTTTTTCCTGAATTTGTTCTCACAAAAGTTGGGCTGGTCTCTTTTAAGCACAGTCCTGGATAGCTGTCGCATTATTATAATATGAAAAATATACGCAAATAAAAAACGTTTCCAAACGGGGGATAAAATGACACTAAACACCAGGGTTGAAACCTGAAAGGGTAAATACTTCCAGTTCCCACAGTTAATTAGGTTTCTGCCATAGGCTTGGTGCTAGGAAATAGGACTTTGGGGTATATTTGATTACAATGTAACCGTAACCCTTCTTGTCTTCTTTTTTGCTTGTTTGTTTGTTTTGTCTTGTAGCTTAGTCGCACCAAAGGACTACGGATCCAGTTCATTTGAGGCCTTCCAGGCAGCATCTTAAGAGCACCCAAATTTGCTACTAGCTTCCACCAAAGAGTCTTGCAGGAAAAAAGGTTCCTTCTGCTGTGGAAAAAAAAAAAAATTCCTAGAAAAGTTATAGGCAGATGACATTTTTTTTCACTGTGGGAGGAGAAATGCCAACTTGAGGTCGGAGAACGCAGCTCGAGTTTTTGGACACAGTCTCTCTCTTCCTCTTCCTTTTCCCAGCCTCGGCCAGCTACGTCAGCCATTTGGCAATGCAGGTATCATACACGGTGCGGTTGGCGTGCCAGTTCGTGTGAGAAACATTGGCCATTTTGCAGAAAACAATGTCGCCGCGCGCGTCCAGGGTCTTCAAGCCAAACGTGTCGAGGAGGTAGACCTGAGGAAAAGACCAACAAAACCCCAAAGTTTAATTGGTGGGGGGGGGGGACCTTCAAAGCTATCCAGCAGCACCAAGGCGCACATCAGGAGTGTTGCAAAGCCAATATACCAGTGTTTTTCAACCTTAGCAACTTTAGGATGTGTGGACTTCCACTCCCAGAGTTCCCCAGCTGGCTTCTTGCCTGGGGAATTCTGGGAGTTGTAGTTCACATAGTTTAGGTATGCTGAGGTTGAGAAACACTGGTTCAGAGAAGTGTTTCTCTACCTCAGCAACTTTTTAAGATGTGTGGACTTCAACTCTCCGAATTTCCCAGCCAGCAATCCCCCGGTTTTACCGTAATTAGGACTTGCCTCAGTCCCCTCTGGCACTCTTAAGTGACAAAATGGGAAACAGCCTCTTCAATTCTCTGCCCCACGTTGCAAAATAACTGCGCCAGCTTTGCTCTAAACCAGGGGTGTCAAACTCAATTTCACTGAGGGCCGCATTAGCATTGCGGTTGCCCTGGGGGCGGCCGGGTGGGCGTGGATGGAGTGGGTGTGGCTACTGGATGGGCGTGGTCAGTTCTGCATCATTCGCATCAAGGGTGCCTGTGGGGGGCCTGGGCAGGAGTGGGACAGATCTGAGGGTCTCTGGCAGAAGGGGGTGGGACCGGAGCAAGTGCCAAGGCATGGTCCACCGGGGCAAGTGCCAAGATGGCCACCACAAAATTGTACATTGGCTCCCGGCTGGCCTGGGCCAGGACCAAGGCAGTGGGGGCCATTCCCTCACTGTTTCCAGGATGGCTTCACGGGCCACATGAAACCACTTCGCGGGCCGCATCCGGCCCCCGGGCCTTGTGTTTGACATGTCTGCTCTAATCAGGACAGACAACCAATTACTTCATCCAACAAATGGACAATTCAGCCCAATGCTGCAAGTTCACCCTTTGTTATTTCCCTCAGCTTCGCTTCCTGGCTCTACTGCTTTTAGTCTTCTTTAAATCTGGATTGCAACTACTTCTGGAGGCACATCTTTCGTTTGGTAGTAGATCTGCTGGAGATGTCTGTGCCTGTGCTCCCAATGCATCCACCATCCAATGAATCCTGCTTTCCCCTATTTTAATTAGCAAAACCCTGGCATTTAAGCTAAGAAAAGCTCCTGGAGAATAAAGTCAGAGTATATCTGACTTTATTCTTCAGGAGCTTTGCTTAGCTTAAATGTAATCCTCAACTTACAACAATTCCTTTAGTGACCATTTGAAATTACAACGGCACTGAAAAAAAAGTGACTTATGACCGCTTTTTACACTTACGACTGTTGTAGCATCCTCCTGGTCACGTGTTCAAAATTCAGATGCTTGGCAACGGACTCATATTTATGATGGTTGCAATGTCCAGGGGTCATGTGATCACCTTTTGCAACCTCCTGACAAGCCAAATCAATGGGGAAGCCAGATTCACTTAAACCACTGTGTCACTAAATAATTGGAGAGATTCACTTAACAACCGTGACAAGAAAGATTGTAAAATGGGGGCAAAACTCACTTAACAAATGTTTCAGTCAGCAACAAAAAAAATTGGGCTCAGTTGTGGTTGTAAGTCCGGGCAGGCTGGGGGCTGGGTGGCATTGTGCTTCTTTTTGGATTCGCACTGTCCGGCTCAACCTCTCGGCGGTGTGAGGAGAGCGCCTCGCTGCCTGCCGAAACTGGGCAGGTTTGGGGCTGGCCGGCATTGTGCAGGTAACATTGACTCTCATGCTGCTCATGGCATCCCCTCCCCCAGAGCCCACCAAGCCAGATATGTGAAGTAGGTGAGGGCCATGTGCTGGCCACTTCCAAGTGATGGTGCATTTCTTCATTCCTCACGAAGGGTGACCCCTCCCCAGCTGCATTTCTTGCCTGTTTTTCTCCCTCTCTCATCTCAAATATTTTCCCACCACTCTGTACTTAGGAAGGAAGGAAGGAAAGAAGGAAAGGAGAGGGTCTGAGGGAAGTTTCTGCCTTAGTCCTGCCCTGCTGCCCTTTCCCCATCCCCTTTCCCCCTCCTCCTGGCCTATCCTGGGGTCTCCCATTCTATTGCTAAGGAAGCTTTGGATACAAAGCCGGGTCTCCTCCCATGGAGAGGGAATGGGCCTCCCTCTGACTTTGCCCTGGTACCCATCATGAGCAACCTGGCTAAGGAGAGCAAGCACAGCAGCAGCAGCCTTGGGGAGGAGGTAAGTGCAGCTGGGCGCCCCCTTGGGGAAGTGGGGCTGGGCTTGGTGCCGCGGGTGCTCGAGGGCCAGGCTGGGCATTTGACCTCTGCTGCCCAGGGCTCCGGGTAGCCCCCACCACCATTCAGCCCCCACCACCCCGCATGGCCTGAGAGGAACAGTGAGGCTCATCCAGTGGACCATGCCTTGGCACTTGCCCCGGTCCCACCCCCTTCTGCCAGAGACCCTCAGATCTGTCCCACTCCTGCCCAGGCCCCCACAGGCACCCTTGATGCAAACAATGTAGAGCTGGCCATGCCCACCTAGTAGGCCACACCCACTCCATCCACGCCCACCCAGTAGGCCGCACCCACACTGGCTACACCCACCCAGCCCCCTGAGGGCAACCGCAATGCTGATGCGGCCCTCAATGAAATTGAGTTTGACACCCCTGATTTATATAGACTAATTGGAAAAGGCTTGCGATATCTGTGAGTTTTCAAGGCAGAGGTGTTACTCAGACATCCCCCAAAAGTGCTTTTTCCAAAAGGCCACTGAACTTTCTTGGGGTTGTTTTTTTTTCTTTGAAAATGTTTTGCTTACGAGAAAGTTCTTGAATGAGAAGCAAAAAAAATTTGAAGAAAAAAACAACAACAAGAAAGTCCAGTTGCCTTTTTGAAAAAGCACCTTTGGGGCAAACATGACCTGGATGATTGAGAATCTAGCTAGACATGTTACTTAGAATAAGCTGGCTTTGTTGGGTGCCTGTTTAAAAGGCTAAGCGCGTGAGAACTTTTACGATCTGCAGGACTGCCCACATGGATGGAATCCCTCCTCTCAGGAGCTTGTTTTTGACACGGGCGTGAAAGACTATATCAGTGGTGGCAAACCTATGGCACGGGTGCCAGAGGCGGCACTCGGAGCCCTCTCTGTGGGCACACCTGCCGTTGCCCCAGCCTCGCCTCCCCCCGCGACCCCCTCCTCTCCAGCAGCCCCCCTGAAGGAGAGTCACCCCTGAGCGTGGCCCACTCGGAGTAGCGCAGCCAAGGACATGGCAGCCAGGCAGTGTAGACAAGACTCTGTCCTCACACCCCATTGTGCACAGCTGATGCTGCAGGGTGCCGGCACAGGGCATGACCGCCATAGCGCTGCTGGGCTGCTTGGGCGATCTGTGGCGGGCCCTAGAGGTGGTGACTGGCCCTGTGGGCAGGCAGGGCGGGGGATGGGAGGGCAGAGCGGGGCAGGGCAGGGGGTGGAGCGGGTGCGGGGCCAGTTTTTGGGCACTTGGTCTCTAAAAGGTTCGCCATCACTGGACTATATCATACCCAAGCTATGCAGAGTGGCCCTTCAAAACTAAGAATAGCCCCATGTTTTTGGTTTTTAGAAAGAACTAAGACACATCTCTTTACATTGATTTTTTTGAGTTACTTTTAGTCTTTTACTGTGACTTTAATGTTTCATGGGACTGGTAGCCTTTAAACCAGTGGTTCTCAACCTGTGGGTCGGGACCCCATTTGGGGGTCGATCGACCATTTCACGGGGGTCACCAAGCAAGGCTGTCCACCATTTTTTTTGTCCGCCATTTTTTCCTTTTCCGGCGGGTGCCTTACCTCCCTTGGGCTGGGCCAGCTGGTGGTCGGCCTGCTCCGTCTCTGCCGCTTGCCAGCTACGCCTCGGCCGGCGCAGGGGGCGGAACCACGCATGCGCAGCGCTCCCGGGCAGGGAAAGTCCTCAACTTACGACCGGTTGGGTAGTTCTTGACTTACGACCGATTTAGTCCTCGACTTACGACTGGTTTAGTCCTCGACTTACGACCGGTTTAGTCCTCGACTTACGACCGGTTGGGGTCGCAGCATTAAAAAGGTTGAGAACCACTGCTTTAAACCATTATAGAGGCTTTGTTTCTAATTGTTGAAACATTTGTAAAAAGGTCTTTCTGATAAGTGGTTTTGGATAATGAGGGAACAATTTGGGGATGCATGGCACTGAAGGGAGGTGTGATGGCAAAAAGTTTTGGAACCACCACAATAAACCGAAACACATTCTTCCTGCCACGTTTTTTTCACCTCACATTGTTAATTTGTCCTTACTCACCGGCTGAGATGTCATTTCCCTCACCGTCTCATTAACATCATAGAAGGCAAACATGCTATAAAAGAAACAGAACAATCCTTGTAGATTTATGCAACGTATCTAATAAACCTGGAAGACCCCCTCACACCTTTTTCTTTTTAAATATTTTAATTCCTCCTTCTTTACTATTTTTATAACCGATGTAGAATGTTACGTGTATATGCATATATCTAAAATGGTTTTGAAGATACGAGTCTCAGGTATATTCATATTCAAAAACTAAAACACAGATCACTGAGACTAAAAATTTATTAAAAACTTAGCTTTCGTCAGCGTCTGCTAAAACTAGAACTCTGACGATGTTAGCAGACGCTGACGAAAGCTAGGTTTTTAATAAATTTTTAGTCTCAGTGATCTGGGTTTTAGTTTTTGAATATGCATATATGTACCTACACTGGCGAAAGACCATAATAATAATAATACCTCCTTACAAGAGGTACAGGTGATACATGTATACAGAGTGAAAAAATAAAGTTAAAGAGAACAAAGTATGGTTCAGAGGAAGAAATAGAAAAAAATGCAGAGAATTGGAAATAAAAAGTTGTTTTAGAAGTGGATGAAGAGGAATGAAAAACTCTCCAAGGGAAGAGTGAATACATTTAAAGGGAAAATAGATGGAATGATTTGTGATAAAACTCAGCAAGGGAATGTTGGAAAGACAAAATTTAAACATTTGCATGGGAAGTGATGATAAGGCACAATAGTGATTTTGAAGAGGGAAACCGAAACAAACATTATACAGGTGGTCCTCGACTTACAGATGTTTGTTTAGTGACTGTTCACAGTTGCAACAGCACTGAGAAAAATGACCTAGGACCAGCCCTTTGCAGCATCCCCATAGTCAGGGGATCAAAATTCAGATGCTTGGCAACCAGCGATGTATTTGCCATGGCTGCAGGGAGTCCTGGGGTCATGTGGGTGCCATGTGTGGCCTTCCCAGCCGGCATCTGACAAGCAAAGTCAGTGGGAGAAGCCAGATTCACTTATCAAATGCACAATCCATTTTAACAACCGCAGTGATAAGGAACGGTTGCTGGAATTGGGTATGTCTTGTCTAATGAAGAGAAAGACGAGGGGGGACATGATAGCAGTGTTCCAGTATCTCAGGGGCTGCCCCAAAGAAGAGGGAGTCAAGCTATTCTCCAAAGCGCCCGAGGGCAGGACAAGAAGCGACAGATGGAAACTAATCAAGGAGAGAAGCAACCTAGAACTAAGGAGAAACTTCCTGACAGTGAGAACAATTAACCAGTGGAACAACCTGCCTCCAGAAGCGGTGAAGGCTCCAACACTGGAAGTTTTTAAGAAGAGACTGGACAGCCATTTGTCCGAAATGGTATAGGGTTTCCTGCCTGAGCAGGGGGTTGGACTAGATGACCTCCAAGGTCCC